CTGAAACACTTAATCTTTTTTATTATACTTAATTGAACACTGTTAACCTTACTGTTTGTGTTTACATGCATGAAAAAACATGTTAAAGCTGTAATATCTGAAATAATGTTGAAGTATCTTATCTTGGGTATATCCTATCAGAACTGCAGTTGCATTAAAGGGTTGAGCACAAGTGAGGGTGAATAAAGTGTGTTGGAGCCAACCAGTAACACCTCATCACCAGCTTTTGATGATGACAATCTATCATTCGTTTAGGTGAAATGCAGTTACCATAAATGTGTTTGTCTGCCAAAATTTTATGAAAATACTCAGATTAAAACATGTCACTAGAGCTCAGATTAATAATTTTAGTGTGTATTACTTTGATCTTAAAAAGTAGAATTGACAGTCCACAAAGTTCTGATGAATGAATTGACAAACACGTCAGGTGAACTTACACCATCATTTTAGGTAGCAATCCAAAGACCCTCAGGGTGGTACTCCCTCAGCCCTATGGGTAACAAATCCCTAATACAGCATGTCACTACACCCTAAAGGTGGCACTCAACCACACTCTCAGGGTGCCCATAAGGCAGCCTACTGAAACTTAAGTGGCAGTTTGTAAACATTCAAGAGGTGATACTCTAACAGACCCTCTGGGCTGAAGACCACCCTAAGTACATTAGCACATTATTACTGGAAGCCCAGGGAATATTACACCACAATGCAAATAGTTAAGGGGAAATTGTTTAAAATATTTAAGGGGAAACTTTTTAGATGGTGCAGATAGTTTTTTGGGGAGATAAAATGCAATGTTCATAGGCATGTGACATCAACTCAAATACCTTTTGCAACAACAAAGTACCCTAATTTTGCAAATTTTGTTTGGGAAAATATAAACTAGTTGTACCAAAATACTGTTACAAATTATTCCCTTCTTTCAATAGTTTCTTCATAGAAGAAAATTGTAAAACTGTAGCAGTTATAGATTCAGTTAGAGATTTTATGCCCTAAGACAAACTAAGTCCTCTTTTGCAAAGCAGATATCCACAGAGGGCAGTAAGCCTGACAGCATTTCCTAATCACGTGTATATAATCACATGAGTATCAAAATATAAAGCTGAGTTCCTAATCAGCAATCTTTAGTTTTTTTAAGTTTTGAAGAAACACTAATTACACACTCATTTACAATTTGAGCTGTGGCCACAAGATAATGGAAGATCACATGAGGACAATGGCAGAGGCAGACCCTACAGACACTCCTGGGAACACAGCATGGGAGATTCTAGCATTCATCAACCTTCCAACAGACCATCCTGTCTGCCTGCCTGACTGACTGCCAGCTTGCTTGCTTGCTTGCTTGCTTGCTTGCTTGCTTGCTTGCTTGCTTGCTTGCATGCCTGCCAGTCTGCCTGCCAACATCCACACTAGCTTTGTATTCACAAGTGGACCCAGTTCATTATTTACCAGAAATATCACATAGCAAGGCAGAGTAGTTAAAATAGTCTCTAGTAACCACCTGTCCTTCTACTTACACACACACTACACAAGATTCCCCTGCTGTTCAGTCAATAGCAAACCTACCATGACACAACACTTTCACCTTAGAGACTAGGAAGCAAGAGAACGCAGATTCTTCAGCCACAATATGAGATGAATGTTTTTACTAAGATTTTATTATTATGTTTTCATGTCTATGGTAAACGTAAGAATGTAGTTGAGTGTTTACATATGTGTGTCATGAACACACATAACAAGTTTTGTAACAATAGCAATCACTTATGGTAAAACTGAACAACTTTTCTGTTTTTTTTTCAACATGTCACTCTCAAAAGACTATGGTCTAAATCTTCTGCTAAGGAAATGGTGAGTTCACAGAGGATCAGGTATATATGTATATATATCTATATAGGTATGTATAAATATAGTATTCACTGCATCACAGCAAATCATACAAACATTTATACAAGTTTCACAATGTTGCTAAAGGCCCATCTTCCAGATCTGATCTCTTGGTAGGTATCACCACTGTTACTCACAAACACCTTGTGAAAACTGAGGTAATATTTACTCATTTACCCTAATAGAAATGAAGTCAGTATCTAAATAAAGTATCAAAAACTAAAATAATCTCCAAAGAATTCTCTAGAGCATTAAATATCACTAAACAAAAATATCTGAATCAGAAAATCTACACACACCATCAAATAATGTTAAATTAACAGAAAAGTAAAAAATAACATCTTAATATATTATTAGTGAACTACAGTACCACAACCAATATATCTCTTCATCATTATCATTAAAGAACAAAGAAACCCCTTAGTTATGGCTAGCTCTGTGCCCAGCCATGTATTCCTTCCAGCGCTGAGCCGTTGAAGACAGGACCGGATCATCATCAATTGAAGCCAGGAGCAGGAGCTGGGTGATGTGCGTGGTGTGGTAGTCCCAGCGGGCTCGGTTGGGAGCTACATGGGTTGTGAAATGCCGCAGGTCATACAAGGAGCCCCATCCAGTGTCA